CTAGGGGAGCAAAAGAACCGAAAATCTTCAGAAATGTTTTTTCAGTAGCAGTAGTGCTGGAATAGACACACTTCAGCCTCTTAAAAGTAAATTGTAGGTCAGAGTACAGCTGCAGGAGGTCGGGAGGGGAAGAGAAGCAGCTTTTTTCTTTTTGTACCACTTCATTTAGGTATGAGTGTTTATCCACGTGACTTTCAGAGCTCAGCTGTCATGGGGATGGAGAGTAGCCCTTGGGGAGAAAGGGAAGATGACACTTATAGAGGATATGGGGTAAAAGGCATTAAAGCCGATAGAAAAATGACTGTTTTGCTAGAGGGCTGACTCAAGATTGTGGCATGATTAGATAGATCACCTTGGCTCTCCTGTGGAGTTCTGTGTACAAGTTTGCTGTAATAGCTAGGTGGATCAAGAGATCCAAATAATTTGCATCACATTTCTTAAGCCTTAGAGATTAAAGATGAAACTGACCTTTTAAGACTGTCATGTCCATTCCTCCTTCTCATCCAGGGTTACTTACTACACATGACTCTCGTCTGGGACTTGTTCATCCTGGTTTTAAATATTTCAGGTACCAAGGCTTCCACCACTTCGCTTGATAAATTATTTTGCAGGCTGACAGCTGTGCTTGGAAGATTGTCCTGAAATTCAGCTTAATTTTTTCACTTCCTTAATTCCTGCCTGTCCTCCTCCCTCCCCTCCTTCAGTTGCACCCTCTTTTTCTGCCATAAACAATCCCCAAATGCATGTGCCTACACACGCAGGACCAGAGAGGATGGACTACTAGCAATCCAAAGCATAGTTTTCAGAGCACCTTTATAAAATTGCCATATTTCTCTGCTTGCACATCTGGTGGCACTCTATGCTCACTCCAGTCCACATACCTCCATACCAACCATATACCAGCTGAGAATCTAGCTCTCTGGACTGAAAGAGAAGCTTGTATAGAACTCCTTGGTTGACTTCAACATAGTCTGAATCAGCGTTTTTGGAGCTTGGTTGTCTGTTGGACTATCAGGTTTTCTATATGCTTTTTCTTCGTCATATCCTCTAAATTGTCACCTTGAATTTTGACCATTTTAAAAAACCTTATATATTGCTAATGGTGAAACCACAATGGTATGTGGTCAGTTTTCATTTTATAAGTATGACAGTATGGACAGGTCAAAATTTGACAATGATAATGGCTACAGTAGGGAAAATGTGCTAACTTTTAAGCACAGCTTTGCTTCTGTTCCCTTTGTATCTTGGCAAGCTAAACCATGAAGTTTTCAGTGCTTCATCTAAGATCTAATTAAGGGGAGCTCTTCTGAGGAAGGATAAGGCAATACAAATAAGTCTGTTTTCACGGTTGAGAAACTTCAAATGAATGAACCTTAGCAAAGGGCATGTTTAAGCATTAAAAAAGTGTGCAGTCTGACATCTGTTACAGTTGAGCACCTGTTGGGTGATGAAGTTTTTTTTCCAGGCAGAGTGAACTGTTCTTAATATCCCTGATGCAAAGTAAAAGAGATGGGGAGGGTGTCTATCCTTTCTACTATTTCTGTGTTATCTTCCCACTACCTTGGGTTGTTGCTGTAGCAATCTTCCTTTCCTCCACTCTTGACTAGATGCACTGAAACCCGTTCAGCTTGTCAAAGAAATAAACCTGCTTGTTGTATTGCAAACAGGTTGCAACTTTACATGAGAACTTGGGGATCTGCTGTCTTTTATTTTTCTTCACATGATTTCACAGGAGAGCCATCAGTGTCCGTGGTATTTGACCTACACCATGAAAGTCAAAGGTATAGTCAGGGTTTCCCCTGTTTATAGCTCAATAACTCAGGCTGCTTCCTTTCAAAGGGGCAGAATTAAAACCTGAAGGGTCTACAACTTTCTATGCTAATGGTCTTGAACTGCCAACAATCACTAGCACTCATTTGAATCAAAAGTAGTTGCACTGAAATCAGTGGCCTGAAGCAGATGGAGAAACAGGATGAGAGGAGAATGTCCTGAAGAATATATTCCCCATGTATAGCCACTAATGGGAATTATATCTGCTTCTGGGTAAGAGAATATAATCTTTAAACCAAGGGGGAAGATATTTTCTTTTTAGGGTGTAGAGTTTTTCCCAAGTTCTTTGTTTAATCACTTTTGCTTATATTAACTTTCTGAAGAAGCACCGGCCAAATAATGTTAGCTATAAAGGCACTGGCCAAACAGTGTTAGCTATGTATCAGTCACGCTGCCAAAAGTTAAATATGTAGGCCTAGTATATGAGTATGTAACACACATCCATATCTCACTTTCAGATTTGTACCTTAACTGGAAACCAACTTAAAAAAACAAAAACCCATCCCCTTGCTCGACTAGCTTTTTGCCTTGCCAGTGAGTTGAATGCTGAAGTTCTGACTTATTATTTCTTTCTTGTTGGTTTTATAAATTCATCTACCACCATTGCAGAGCAGTCCTAAAAAACAACCGGATCATGTTTTACTTCTTCACTCTGAACCTAGCTGATGACTCTTTATATCATAGATTTATTATCTAGGATTGGCCTGGAGAGTTCAGGGTGTTAGAGCAGTGCTAAAACCAAAGAAACCCCTACAATTGAGGGAGAGGTGTGTGGGAAGTGACTGGCCTCAGCACGTTTGGGGACCTTGACTGTAGACTTTATTTTTGTCTTTGGTGGTTTGTCTTTTTGTTTTGGTTTTTTTGTAAGCAGCTGTTCTAGAATAATGATGATGCCTGAATGTATCGTGCTATGCAAAACTAGACAGGCTGCTTCAAACACTTGCCATAAACCCAAACTACAAATAGGATGGATGTCTCTGTGCTCAGTTGTAGAGTTCTCACAAGGCCTCAGGAAAGGGCAGTGTTAGCATTCAGTTGCTTTGCTGTCCAAGTTATAATTTTGGTCCCTGGTTTTACTGCCTGTTCCTTGGGTGTGTTGGGGAGGGAATCACCTATTTCACTTGTTACACAGTCTTTCTACCTGTATGCTGCCTGGTACATCTTGTAGGGAAGATGGCTGTGCAGAGTCAAAGCTCTGACCACTCCCTTCTCAGCTCTTCAGGAAAGGGAGTAGTGACTTGGCACAGTTACCCCATGCTGTAGCTGATGTGGGGGGAGAGAAAACTACCCACCACTTTAGGGTCTTTTGGGAACGTAGTGGGAAACTCCAGGCTTACTCTCTAGTGGGTCTGATCCTATGAAGAGTTCAGGGCTGCTGACTTCAGTAGTAGTTCAAGGCAGTTGGCATCTGGCAGGATCAGTTTTGATCTTATACCACTTCTACATCAGAGTAATCCTTTTGATTAAACATGAAGTTATTCTGGTTTGCTCAGCTCTCGTTAAGATCTTGGGGCATTAACGAAAGATGCTTTTATTCAAGATTTTGATGCCCTTTTAAGGGAATGTAAATGAACATGTTGAACCACAGTTGCTCTGTTGGCTTCTGGCACCATGGGTTATATTGATCCTTTAGGTTATCTTAAAGTATTGAGACTTGACGCCCTAACTAAAATGGATTTATGTCTTAATATTCAGCTTGTAAAGGGAATGTACAGGACTCGTCTGGATTGCAGCAGTCTGTTGTATATAGACAATGACTGTGCAAAATCAAATTCATAAGGCAGTGCTGATCTCACCGCTCCCACTGGGACTTTCAGAAGGAGCTGAAGGGAATCAGCTACCCACGTTCCACCAGCGTTCTTGTAGTGTGGTTGGGCATTTTGTGTTCTCAGGTTGCTTTGAAAATCTTGGCCATATTGACTTCTTTAAACCAGGGGAAACATTGTGTAAACATTGCTTTCAATGTTGTGTCTGCCAACAGTAATGCTAAAACTTTTAATTGGTCCAAGGGGATATAAGAGGCAAGGTCCAATCTTCAAAGCACTTAAGTTATATAGATTTCCAGTGAGATGGAGGTGGCCAAATATCTGATTCACTTCTGAAAATGAAACTTGGGCTTCTGTGTTGTGTGTGTGAAAACTTGCCCAAAAGCTTGTAAATGTATAAAAGACTAGATATAATGCAGGCTTGAAACTACTTGTTTGGGGGCGGGGGGGAAAGAGGATCCAGGGCAGCAGGAAAAGGCAGCAGTGGCCAGTCTGAGAACCAGCCCACCTGAGACCTGAGCTCGGTCATTCCAGCCTGCCACTGGAAAACACTGTTGACAGCTGTGTTAAGGCCTTGGACTTTTAACAATCAGTCTAACTTTCATTTGGGGAGTACCAAACCTTGCATTTATGAATGGACTTTGATAATCACATGATTGTAAAAATGCATGGATGCATTTGAAATTAAAAACAAAGTACTTTGTTTTCAGTAAGAGGCAAGGATTTTTTGGGTGTTATCTTTTATTGGACCAGCTTGGGAGTAATCTTAGATAGGTACTTTATACCTGAAAGCTTTTCTAAGATCTATCCCAATATGCAGGTGGTCCAATAAAAGATATTGCCCCAGACAATACTTCCCTTTCACATGTTTTTTTTCAGTAAACTTCTGACAACTGCTATTTGGTATGAAACAAGAATAATTTAACTGTTGATAGTATGGGGTTGATAGTAAAATGGTTGCTATCAAGTTACCAGATATTGCTAGCTTTATAATACTGACTTTCTTTTGTAAGTTTTAAAGTTGGAAAAATCAACTGGAGACTTTATCATCTTAACTATGTAGGACATTTACACGGGGCATCTTAATATTTGGCTTGTGGTGTTTTTCTGAAGCTGCCTTCTGTTTTTTTGGTGATGCAGGTCCTGGCACAGAAAGTCAAGGTGCTTGACATCTAGTATGAGTAGATTTTGTGGACTTCTGCAAAGATTTCCTTCATGGGCCTGTAGTTAGTGTTTTGTGGAGTTATATGTTATACTTTGTTTTAAAAAGCAAAATCCAGTTTATGGGAGTTGTGCTTGTTAATTAATCCAAATACCGTTTTAAATATTTGTCTTTACAACTACACTGCATTGGAGGAGCCAGTCTGTATGCTGAAAGGCCATCTTCTTTTCTCCCCTGATTAGACACATGAAGATTCATGAGAAAGATCCAAACGGTGCTGCGAGTACGACTCCCCCATCTCCTCTGAAGCGCAGACGGCTGTCATCTAAAAGGAAACTTAGTCAAGAGGCTGAGACAGACAGGGAGGAACGGACCCCTGCAAAAAAGGTTCCTGCCAATGCATGCAGCAAATGATTTTCCTGACCACCTTTTTTTCCACATTTTGATTTCCGAGGCTCTTTCCTCTTATAATTTGCCTTTTCCATGAAAGCATCTTCCAGGCAAACACGTTCAGCTTATACTGAGATCTGTTTAAAATTAGCATATTCTTACTGGTTTAGTTAACATCTACTTACTAGTAAAATGAAAGCATTTCAGTATTTTACTTTTCTCTGTTTCAGTTGTTTTGGTTGTTTATTTTTTATTCTGGGTAATAAAAATTGGACGGGGAAGGGATAAAATTCTCCAGTTAGATTGAAGCTCAGTTTCTTTGGTAAGGGAAGGGTGCACATGGGTGTGTGTGGATGTGTTAATAAGTCTAAGTTCAGATCACTAATACTTTCTTCCAACCCTAACAATAGCTTAAATTTTTGTCCAGTTTCACTTTCAAGCTTCCCTACATTAGTAAAGGGGTGCAATATTTGAGTTGCAAAAATTTCAGGAAAATACAAATTTATTTGTGGGGAGTTCCCATGAAATTATTTGAAAAAATATTCATTTTCCATTTTAGGTTTCATAAAAGCTGGTTTATGCAAAATTTAAGTTTTGATGCCCTGGTTAACTTCACAGTATCCCTTTACAATCTCCAATTGGCAGGCAAGTAGCAACTCAGCGTAGAGAGATTCCCTGTTTCTGTGTGTACTTTTCTTTCTGTAATTGAAAGATGTCTATAGAAAACATGCATTATTTCGCTGCTCTTTAGATCACTTGAGTTAGTTGCTGTCTGGGATTCTCTGACATAAATAATTTAGGCTGACAGCCTGGTTTCCTGCAGGGGGAGGAAGAGGATAATGATGCTAGTTAAATGGTCAGCCTAGTTGAACGATCCTACACACACTTTTGTTCCTTATTTAGGTTTATGAATTGTTTAGTTCTAATGAGTGTATGTGATCAAGGGTGAAGTCGCTTCACCTTAGAAAGGATCAGTCCCCATTTAGCTAATGTCATGTTTATCCAGCTTCTCTCTCTCTGTCTCTGAAATGAGTCATTATCCTCTTCCTCCCCCTGCAGGAAACCAGGCTCAAAAGAGGATAATGATGCTAGTTAAATGGTCAGCCTAGTTGAACAATCCTACACACACTTTTGCTCCTTATTTAGGTTTATGAATTGTTTATGAAAATGAGTGATTTTCAGTAGCCTATAAAAAAAAAAAAAAAAAAAAAAAATGAGCTGCTACATGATAAAGGAAGGACTTTGGCTGAATTGCACGTTTGAACACGTTGCTTGCACTGAGTTCTTTTAACGTTTTTTTCATCTCGCTGAAGGTTGTTGAGGAAGCTCAGTCCAGTGAAGTGGAGAAGAAGACTGAGGAAGAAGTTTATCATTGTCCAGTGTGTTTCAAAGAATTTGTATGCAAGTATGGGCTGGAGACCCACATGGAGACGCATCCAGATAACTCACTGAGGTAAGAAGTAGGCTAGATGTACTTCTTAGCACCAGATGCAATGGGGGAAAGAAAAGGGGTGGATTTATACTGACTCGGTTTGTGGTGTGCAGAACAAGTTGCTTAACCTTTCTTCCTTAGAAGCCCCATCTGTAAGTGAGCAGGTCACAAGGATGCTGTGAGTCTTATTTTAACATGGCAAAAACAGCTGGTTTAAAAATAATGGGCATAGGTAATGTCAGAAAGCAAAATTTTGGTGGAGAAACCTGAAACTTGAAACATTTTGACAAGGGGTACTTACAGAATAATTTAGAGATGAGAAGTGTGGTAAGGCTGGTTATAGCTAACTGGTTTATAGCTGAACTCTGTTGTGGGGGGAAGAAGGAGATCTGGACCTGGACATTGCTAACTAAAGTAGCAAGTTGTGGAGAGATGTATTTAAAAAAACAAAAAAAAAGTTTGGATGAAACTAGGGTTTTCTTACTTATAAGACACCACCTTAATAAAAATGTGCCATTTTTATTAAGAGTCCTGGGACTAGTTGGGAAGTACCACATTTTTGTTTAAGGAAGAAAATATTTCCAAGTAGACAGCTCTTTTCTTTTTTTTTTAAGATGTGATTTAATTGGTTAGAAAAGTTGTATGCTTTGTACAGGTGGCTCCCTACCAAAAGTAGGACTCTTCCGGTACTATGTTTCCTGTTTTCAAAATAGAATAAGGTGAATCCAGATACATAAGGATATAAATGAGACAGATTCTGAGTCTAGTTTAAATGCTTACACAGGGAAGATCTGACATTTAAGAACAGCAGTGAATCAAACTGCTAAGCAGTGGCTGCATTTTCAGCTTATATTTGGAGAATGGCTCACATATGGAAAATATGGACACCTTGGTTTGCTTGATTCTTTACTCTTCTGAATAGACATCTATTTCTGACAGGTTTTTTTTCCTATCGGTTAGTATGCAGCAGGGCTGGAATAAACCTTTTTGTTAAAATACATTTTTAATTATTTCTAAGAACCTTTAAAGAAGTTGCAATCGTTTTAATTATTAGGGATTTTTTTAACTTAATCCATCAAAAGAGTGTGTTTGTTCTTTAAACAGAATTTAGTACTCCTTAATAAATCACATATATATTCTGAAAATAGCTGAAGTTCTTTCTGTTTTAGTATTATACATATTTCCCCCCTTCCTCCCCCTACAAATACACACTCACAGCGTAAGGAATGCTGAGAAAAGCTCTTCATAGAATACATTCAACTGAGCACATCAAATTCATCATGTCTTTGAGGCCTCCATCCTAGCATTTCAATGGAGATGTAGCATCATCCTGAGCCTGTATTCAGTGAAACTGAGAAGCTGTGTGAATTCTCTTGCTTCAGAGGATGGATCAAAGGAAGAAGCTCAGCCAGCCCTCAGGCCTGGCAGCAATGTAATCCGCTGCTGGGCACAGAGAGAGTTTCCCTGTAGTGTGGCAGAAGGAAGGCCATTGATAAAGCTCTTATTCCTGCACTGGGAAAACCAGTTTGTTTTTTTTAAATGGTTCCTGTTAGCAGAGTTGTTGTGGCCAGCAAGAACTGAAACAGTCTCGTGAACGTTAGCTGTGGTAACTTGGCTCTGTGAGCACAGAGGAAGCACATTCGGTGAGAGACTTTATGGGCTCGTCTCACTTAGGGTGAAAAGCGTATTTGTAAAATGTTTACTTTAGCATTTAAAACTTCATAGTTAAGACGGTGGTTCCTCTGGATTAGCTCACATGTTGAAATGCATCCTTAGTCTTGCCTGCTTCAGTGTATATTTTAAATCACATTGGCTAATGTGGTTTAGAAATGTACCTTCCATCCTAGGCTACACATTGGCGTTGACTGTGTGAGCAAGGCAAGGTAGGTAGGAGTTGTCACAAGGACTGCAAGCACTGAGAGGTCAAGTGGAGGCTCAGGACCACCACAAGTTACCTCAACAGAATACACTTTACACATTGAGCTCTATTTGTCCTAAAAGTTGTTTCCACTGACACCGGAGAAGGATTGGTCTTGGTGATCTCTTTGAGAGGGATAGCAGATAGAGGAAAGAATTTTCTTCAAAGATGGGTTGATATAGGTAGTTGTGATTGTGGTGGGGAAATAAACCATGTAAAATATTAGAAAGCTTTCCTTAAATTAGTGTGTTTTTTTTCATTTTAGAAAAACAAGGGTAAGGACTCCCCTAAAAAGAACTGAAAGGACTGTCACACCAACTTTTGTTGCTACAGGGTGGAGAGCAGGATATTAGGGTTTTATGGGTCAGGGTGGGAAAGCAGAAATTCTTGAATTAGACCTTGTCTCTCCTGGAGGATTGCCCTGGTCCAGCAGTCAGTGTCCACCCACCAGGATAGCCACACCATTGCAAACCACTGGTCTCTACCTTGCCTTCTATTTTGCACAAAGACAGGTGTGCCTCATCCTTTCTGAAACCAAAGGCAGCTTGAACAGCGTAAGGCCCCTGGCAGAAGTTACGCTTAAGATGCAATTAATCTGTTAATTGTGTCTTAAATAGTAACCTGGCTGCATTTCAGGAAATTTATGGTGCCATAAAAAGGGAAATATTTTTGTGGATTGTTTCCATTGTGCTTTAAATTGAACGTGTGGCAGGATTAAGACTGCCCTGGGGTCTCCATCTGGCCCCAGTGTGGTTTCCAGAGCCAGATGACAATCATCTATCTGATCACTAGCCAGCTCCAGGGTCTTCACCGGAGCCATTTTGAGCCCTGGTACGGTCCCAATCCAGCTGATGGTCAGGTGGTCATCAGTTGATTCTGGGGACCATACCAAGCCCTGTTGTGGTCATGGAGGCAGCTGACAGGTGATCATCAGGTACCCAGCTCTCAACTTGAAGGTTCAGGGGGAGCCCAGAATCATGGTCTGCACTGGCAAGTAGGACACAATTGGGATTTCATAGTTTCATAGTTTCATAGTTTTAGGGTCGGAAGGGACCTAATAGATCTTCTAGCCCGACCCCCCGCCAGGGCGGGAGAACAACAAAAGAACCCTAAACAAAAAACAGGACTCAAATGAGTCCAGCCAGGTAGGTATCCAGCCTCTTCTTAAAGATCCCCAGGGTAGGGGCCAGCACCACCTCCCTTGGAAGTTGATTCCAGCTCCTAGCCGTCCTAACTGTGAAGTAGTTTTTTCGGATGTCAATTTGATCCCCAATTTCCCCAAATTGTGCATCTTGCCATGCATGTGTTGCACGGCAGGAGGCAGAATTGTTGGGATCCAGGATCAGATTCCATTGCAACTTTAAACGGCCGTCTGTCAGTGGCTTAAGCTGTGGCTTCCTTATCTACACTTGAGATTTACTCAGCGGCAGCTGATTTTTATTTCAGAGCATATGTTATTGTAGCATAGACCATACCATTTCTTGCACACACATGTATAATACAAGTAGTATGTGGCCTTGCCATTGCTTGAATAAGAGCCCTTTCCCCAGTTGGAAGCTTATGCAGAGGCATATGCGTTAATAGGCTAAACATTGCTTGGCTTTTTTTTTTATTACTGTCATTTAGATTTGTCACTTGGCAGAAAACATTTCCCTGCGAACAGATCCTATCCCACAAGACAGAAAGGAAGTTTTTGGGTTTTGTTTCTAATGCCAAAAACCAGGACAGGTAACACTGCCCAGCCACTCCCAGCCTTTTAGTCCTCATGCAGGAGGCTGTAATTTATAGGGTGGGCCTTGAGACTTTCCAGTATTGTCAAAAGAACAGCTTTAAATCACAGGGTTCCTTCTTCAAAGTGAAAGAAAAAGCCACAGTGCATGTCTCCCTGACGGCTGCTTTTTTATGCAAAGCTCAGAGCTGGGAGCACCTCATTGTTTACTTACAGCAGAATAAACAATACTTAATCCATTGACTGTGTGAGAGGGGGCTCCCTTTTAGGAGAGTGTCTTTTGATTATGTAAAATCTCAAATTGTGTATCTTTGTCTGCTAATTATGGTAAGAACTACTCAACTCTGGGGGCAATAATAGAGACCTTTGTTATGCTAACAATTGGCTGAGGTACTGTATCTCCTTCATGGAATTAACCCCTCTGGTTAGGCTTTCATCCCATTGAAGCCACACCCTCATTAGCAACATTAGCTAGATAGAGCAAGGTTGTCTGGCTGATGTCTCCCAGTGGCCATTATCAGTGGGAGGTGGCACAACAGTGCTCTTTTTATCCTCTTTCTTCCCGGCTATCCCCTTCCCTCCCGCCCCCTCACTTGGATTATTTAAGGACGACAGCCACTTCCCTGCAGCCTGGGCCAACAGCAGGGCTCCATCTATTTTGGTGAGCCTGTATCAAAGTGCTGATATAATTAGCAGAGCTGAGAAATGCTGCTCAGTCAATTGGGAAGATGAGAAACCTCACACAGTGGGTTCCTTCTCTGCAAACTTCAGTGCCACCTCCTCAAACATGGGAATGCCTGGAAATGTCACCCGATAGAAGACTTGCAACTGCATCAGCAGCACCAGGGATCTAGACATAAGGATTTCCTGAAGAGAAACCTCAAGAAGCAGTGTGAGGTTTCTCTTCTTTCCCTTGGCAAGTACAATGGAACAGGCTTACTGTAAAATGCCTGGCGTTTTAAAAGTATGTATACCATAAAACCCCTCGCTAGGTTTCACTGTAACCAAAGCATATCCTTCATACTTTTTACCCCTATAGCTGCCATCAGTATTCACTTTACCAATGGTTTAAGGAGTTCATAATTTTTCTCCCTCCCAACTTCAGGAGGACATTTTTTTTTCTTGCCCCAATTTTATTTGGATAGTGGAGATGTGGGAGAAGCTAAATAATCTTGCAGTCCAGCACTGACTAGCTATTGAGAGTATTCTAGACACTTTTTAAATAGATTATTTTTAATTTTTCACAGCTAGCAACATATGACCAACTAATAAACCTTCAAATGTTTGCCTTTTACTGAGTGCCGGGTCTTTCTGTCACATTAAACTAATTTGGTTATGCAAAAGACATTTCTTTGGCTCATTCACGGTGTGTTT